TTAAACTTCGTAACTCAATTTGGAAAGGTAAAAAAAATAGGGTGGTGAAGCGCAATTGCTGAACATTTGCCTATTTTTGTTTCATGAGAAAACAGCTTCAAGCCACACGAACAAACACGGAGCCAAAAGCAGGCCAAAAGTACGAAGTTTAGACAAATGTGTGTACTACCCTTTATTCCCATGCTCGCTGAAGCGCCGTGCGTTGCAGCTCTTATAGACACTAGCGCCGGAGTTCCCTCTAGTAAGTATTGTGGGAAACTCTATGGGTGCTTCATCTACAAGATCACAGCGAGTTCAGTGAGGCTCTGGTTCAGTGCGTGGCGTCATACTTGAGAATGTGCGTCGAGCCATCTGTTCCAAGCGCGGAGAATCTACACTGTGAGTCAGCTCCGCAAGTCAAACGGGAAACTTCCCAACGCGAGTGCGACTGCAATCATCTTTACGCCATTCCCCTTTCGTGAATATTTGCGCTGTTTTCGTGTGAAACGTCCAGAAGACCTCCCTCGGCAGTCCGGAACGCCTAAAGCACGTTAACTGAGGACTGCGAAATCACATTCGTGTGGTACGTAATATTCGCAACGCCCACGGGCTTATAGCGGGCGTACCATGCAGTCAAACATGGCTGCGGGAGAAGGGCCAACCCGTGAACTCGCATAGAAAAAGATAGGACGCACGGACGTGTGCCCCGTGCCGCTTTCACCGGATGACCTATTGATCGTCAAATGAATGTATATGGGACCAAAGTGCTTTCCCAAACGATGGGAACTGCTAAATGTCTCATATTTTACTGCAGTGCAAAGCGGGTTGGTGTCAGCCGATCGACCGTGCATCAACGATACCTTGCGTAGACCTGTGCCTGCTACAGAAGACTGCGTGATTTAAAATTGACGTATACACTGAACGACACTCCCAGGCAATTGGTACCGAGCCTGCCTGACGTATTTGCCTCAGTAGCAGGCCGCTATAGCCATTAGCGTGCCATCGCTGTTCCGCGGGACCGATTGTTTTACGTGGCGATTGTTGCGAACATATTGCGCCGTCGTCATTACTTACGCTGTCAGCAACACGAAGTTGCTTTTTCAGCGGAACGAAAGCATTCAACTTCCCACTTATTAGCGCTCGTGTCACAGCCATGCTCAGACTCTATCCGTGTGAAATTCCACTCGGATGTTGTAGCTTCCATCAGCGTGATCAAAACAAGGTTATCGAAAAAAAAAAATACGCGTGCTTTTCGCAACGTCGAAATTGCGAAAATTGTCATATAACCGTGTCGTTCGGCAGGTACCGGTGAAGTGCAGGACTAGTTAGCAGACAGACGTGAATTCTAGTCGTTGACTGAACGTTTCATTGCTCTAACCACTTCGCTTCGCTGGTCCAGATAGAGCGTATTGTCGGCATGTGACACTCCATGATATCAACCGTAATTGGGCTCCATGCAAGGTGCAAAAAAACCTGCTTTTATTTAGACCTCGCTAAAGAATATTATACATTAAATACAATGAAAGAGAATTATGAGCGTGAAAAAAAGAACATTAACGCACGAGAGGACGCGAAGTGAAACTCGCTCGTGGTGAATTAGGAGCTGATCGTTCATCGTCGATGTCATTCCCCATGTGTTAACAACGTTCTATACGTCCAGCAAAAAAAAAAAATGTCGTCGTCACGATGCTTTCTTTCAACATGAGTGCTGAAAGCAATATTATGGAATTCCTTCCTCCATACGACCAACACCGCGTCACTCATCACGTTCATCTTGGCGCGGAGAACATTTTCATTTGAAACAGCGAAGCTAAAACTCGTTCACAAGAAATTTGCTTGCTCTGTGCAGCCATCCATCAACAAACGCACAAAAACAAGCACAAAAACAATTCATGCACTACAAAAGCACTGGTGCATGCTATACGCACGTAGAACAAAGTGAGTTACAACATCAAAAATCAGACCATCAGACTTAACTAACTCTTTGGCTACAGAAAATCTTGCGAAGCTCATATATATGCGTACTCTGCGGGCTATATTCGAAAGCGCGAGTTGTCACATTTTAGGGGCGAAGCTCCTTATGGCGTGGCTTGTGCGTCCCTCGTAGTACGTAACATTCAGTGGCACATACACGAAATAGCGGTCCTTACGATTTTGACCTCCAAGGTGGTTCCGGTGAGAGATTTCTTCTGTCCGTTGTTGAACAATAAAAGATAGTGCTCAATGCACATGTTAAGGGGGAATGAGAGACAGGAGCATTCGGCCTTTAGGTAACGCGTACGCTGCGATCCGCATTAGCAGCTATTGGCATGTACATTGAGCACTCTATCTGAGAAGAAAGGGTTGCTACGTTATACTCGCTGGGTGTAACCTCCTTGGTTTTAGAAAGGTTTAGCGAGCGTTGGGCCACATAGCCATGAATACAGTGAACTAGTATATACCATGAACTCGAGGTGGTTAAAGGTGGGAAGTAAACCCGAAGCGCAAGCCGTAAGAAAGTGTTCATGTGCCACCTCCCGTTTATACCTTGAAATGTCCGCTGGATGGCGGTGCTTCTATATGGAGAATCTATGATGAAAAGATGCGAGATGGTGGTACTTGGAGTGCTGAATAGATGGACGAACGGACACACAGACAGATGCATGGATGGACGCATGAACGGACGCAGACGCGGATGCATGGACGAACGCAGGGACGGACGCACGAACAGACGCACGCACAGACGGGTGGATGGACGCATGGACGGTTACACAGACGTACGCAGGAACGGACGGAAGCAAGAACGAATGGATGGATGAATGCTTCGCCCCACTCCCCATCATTCACTCCGTGGATATGCTGCCATTTTTTTCACTTCCCGAAAACTCCACGTCTCGCAAAAACGAATCAGATTGATCGTCTCAGATCTTCCGGTTTTTTCACTGATGCAAAGAACGTGCAAAGTTATTAGCGTTCGTTTCTTGCTAACGTGTAAACACTAAGGCCATAGACCCTTTTCGAAAAAGGGCGCCCCTAGCGCCGCGGACGCGAACTACAGTCTGCCGCCATTGTGAGGGCATCGCAGCAGACGAGCAGGCTGTGTGTCCCAGCGACGCTGATGCGCGTTTTTTGCGGACACCTCTTGCGTTCCTGCAGGACACAGACCACGACGGAAAGGCACGCCGATGAGAGTCTCTTGCAGGCCGGATCCGTGCATTGCCAGTCATAACAAGTCAAACTGCTCGTCCAACCCGTTAAATGATACAAAAAATTGCTCACTGTGCAGCGGAAGCAGCTCAGAAAGCTAATCGGAGAGTACTAGGAGCTCCTTCAAGCTAGAAAGCGGTGCGATTGCAGCGGATGATACGGAGAACTAGCCGCCAACACAAACATCACAGCACCCACGCATTTGACGGCTCGCTTTCCATGCCCTCATGATGGCGCTAGTTATCCCACGCTCCTTTACGAAGCGAAACTTACGAAAAGCTCACCGTCAGGTGGCGTATTTTTGAAATGGTTCTATTGCCCAGCCCAACAAGGGAGCGTGTGCCTGCTGACCATCCTCGAGAGGATGCCCCCTAATTCCACTTGGTGGCGCGACAGTCTACGGGCATCGTGGCAAAGTGTGACCTTCGACTCAGTCGAACTGCGGCATGCCTTAACCATAGAGTGAGTAACATAAAACCTTTTATATTATACTCTATGCCTTAACTCTGCAGGCAAAACTTGTGCTTTCAGCCGGTGTCACTGTAGCGCTATAGAATTCTCCTGCGGCTTGCGCTCATCATCCAGTGTGGTACTTTGCTTAAGAAGCATTTGCTATAATTCTTTTTTTTCTTTACACCTTTTCACTTTCAATTGCTGTAACTATTGTATAATGCTTGTAACTATTGCTTGTATGCCCTGTTGTTTCTAATCTTATATGCACGTTGTTTTTTGTCCTATCATCCCTCTTATGCCATGAAATACAATCTTGTAATGCGTCCGGTTTGTTTTGATGTCTGCGAGGCTTTGCCACTCAAGCCACCAATTGGCTTTGGCAGGCCTAGTCACATGTACTGTTTTATTTGAAGAAATAAAAGGTATTATTATTATTATTATTATTATTATTATTATTATTATTATTATTATTATTATTATTATTATTATTATTCGAGTGTGCTTATTTACCAATTAACCAGCACTCGTGGAACACACGTGCCGCGCAAAAGTGTCAGCCGAAGAGAAATATTTTAGTGCCACGGTGACGCCGGCTGAAAGCACGTGATCCGCTTCGCGTATACGTTAAAGCACGTCGCAGTTCGAATGAGTCGAAAGCCGTGCTTTCCGCTGTTCACGTTTTGTCGCATCGCGGTAGCACGCCGTTATGTCCGTATTCAACGTGCGCAGTGTGTACTTGCACGCGTGACTCTCAATGTCTCGCATTATTGGCACGCCACCTACGAAAGCGTGCAGCCACGACTTGGTATAGTCAATTTGGCTTGAAGTAAATTTGGAAAGTGGCCAATTTGGCTTAAAGTAGCCACTAATGGCAATCATCACCAGCGCCGTCATAAATGAAATTTCGGCCGTGGACTTAACGCCATATGTGGGCATACGTTTGCTAGAATAAATGTGGTTTTGCTGTGACGGATGCTTACCATTCATCAGCTGTGATTTTTCACTAAGCTGCAGTGCGAACTTCGGGTATAAACAGCGTCAGTATTTTATAAGATCGAATACCGCGATAGGATCGAATATCGACGTTTTTAGGTATCTGGCCATCAAAATAGCAATCCGTCGTTGGTTTCGTGAACCTAATTGGTACAAGTGGCACACCTCAAGCCAAGACTACATATCAAGGTTCGAGAAACATTAAGTGCATTGCGCGTTCTATGCATTTTTAAACACGCATCAACACATACTAGGAAGCAAAACACAAAAAGACACAACATCGGGAGTGTAGAGAAGTCGTTGATGTGCATGCAGTTGCGATAAAACAAAAAAAAACTGAATCCCTAAAGTGTAGAAAAAGACAGACCATTGAGTTACCCCACATCGAATTCTCAAAACGTCAGAAAAACTTTATTGTTGTATTTACAGTTTACACGAAAAAAAAAAACATTCATATTACGGCGTGTTCTGCCTAGGAATATCAATGGACGGTGTCATACCAAGGAGACACTGTTGTGCTCTTGGTTCATGTCGTTGACCAGCGAGCTCGATTTTCGGTCCTGTGAAAGACGCGTGTAAAACGACTAGATCGTTATTAAGGAACATCAAGATGGTCATTTAACACTTGATGTGGCAGTAGTGCTTAATGATTTTTTTAAATGTAAATGTATGCGTAAGTACTTAAACACTTTAAGCCGGAGTATTCCTTTCTCTTCTGTGTCACGCTATTCTTTTCTTGGCACAGTTGTGCGGCAGAGCAGGTACTTATTTTTCAGGCACTTCGTAGCTTGAAATAACTGCCATGCAATCGCGATCCCCATCACTGCGGAATAGACACGCGGACGGAATGGAGAAAACGGGGATTTCTTTAGATAGTTTTCCCGCTTATGACTTGAGAATGATTCAGGCGTGCATACGTTGGGCTCAGGGGGTGGGGATGTTTCTGCGAATGGCGTCAGGCGGATTTATTCTGTAATTGTATAGTGTGTAGAGACATGGCGAAGAAGGACTTTGACGATAATAGCACCATATATTCCCCTGTGTCGCACTGCCGAAAAGCAGGAGGCCAAAGGCAGGTGGAGGCTTTGCAAGGAATGTCGTCGCTTCATTTCCATTCTAACATTCATAGAGAAGCCTGTGTTCTTTCGTATTCGACGAAGTGGTATGAGAACGCTGCACTGCAATTGACCCCCGCCCCCTAAAGAATTCTGGGTGCGCCTTTGGCGACAGGCGAACAAACCGCAGACTCAAGACGACATTTAGGCCACCTGGGACGGCCTATACCCGTTGCCACGCAGACTTCTTTTCTGCCCGCACTGCCAGTGCCTTGTAATGTAGGCTTATGTCCTCGTCCTGCGCATATGATTAGTTGATTTGTGTGCGACTGCAATCGCGCGACTAACAAAAATGAGCAGCGAGTGACTGGGCCCTTTTTGGATGAAAGCGGCCATGTGAGGTGAGTCGCCTTGCGACCAAGTTGGTATACCCACCAATTCTAGCCACAAATGTGAATTACTCTTTAGCGTTTGCGGATATGAGTGACGTGCATGCTGCTCACTTGTTATAAGAAAAAAAAATCCCTGCATAAAATTTTTCACCTGAGTGTAATCATTAGCCTCGTTTAGTATAAGTATGATCAGCATGAGTACCGCCCCACAAGTTGACCGTGTAGAGCTCAAACAACCATAGAAAAATGTACCCGTTATAAGTGTGTCTATGAGGAAGGTCTGAACCAAAGCTTAAAAAAATTTTTTAAAGATATAAAAGGTCTAAAAATTTGAAGCAATGCTATGCGCTGAAGATTTGGCGATAAAATGTCATAGACGTTGACCGTGCATTCAAATGTTTCAAAATAAATGCACTCCTGCCACTCACTTTCTTTGAGAACACTGCGAAAAAATCGTTCCAGGAGCAAACAAAGCAATAAAAAGGTATCCACCACCATTCTCTATACCCAATCTGTACCCTTCTCTGGCTTTAACTCTATCAGTTTCCCCTGGTATAGGACAACACACCGGACATGCACCTATAGTAAACTTTGCCGCCTTTTCTTAGATCTCTGTTCTCCCGAAGCACAAAAAGCCCTTTACAACCAGGATGCACTGTAAACAGTGTGTGCACTTAAGTGTGTTTTGCGTGTCTATAACTAACACCATACGATGAGGGTGTTCCGCGAAACCGAAACAGCCTTATTGTAGCTTTACAGTGTGGCTGAGTGGCCGAAGCATCACCATTGCCCTGAGAAATCTTAGCACGAACTTGACTCATGCTGTAATGCGCATTTCGTCGCAGTGGTACAATCAAGCACACTCATAATAGCCTGCGTGTACAGCTGCTAAGGGAATTCGCCTCCGGAAGGCTTTTCCTGTACAAACCGTACCATTCCTCGGTGTGTATCAGTGGCATAACCTTTCTGCTAAAGTGGGAGTCTGGCACTCAACTCGCCTAGCGAGCCGCAATTGCGAAATTGAGTTTTCCAATGGGTCGGGATCGTGAGGGAACATTTTTCCGATGTCTAGCATATGGGTCATTTCAGGTTTTCAGAAACGTATGCTACTGATCTACAGCTGAAATTTGAATGCAGATTGAGAATCACGGGTTTTGTTCCACGGTTATGTTTAAACACACGGTGACCGAATGACGTGCCTCGTGAAAATTAAGATGGATGAGATCGGTCATGTCTGCGCAGCTCATGAACTCATTGAAAGAATAAAAACAAATGTGGGATGAAGACTGCAATTTACAGACTGGGCCACGCGTTGAAAACACCCTGAGCTGAGGCGTAACACCAATCAGGCGTTCTTTACGGCGTGCACTCGTGCGTCCCCATCGCGGTCTCTCTGTTTTGCCAGGGCTTCCCAAGAGGTGTAACCTCCACCGCGTAGTGTAGGTTTTGCGCTCATGGATTCTTTGGAGGCCCGTACCGAATACTCGACACTAAAGAGGTCGGTGCCCTCTTCCACGCACGGTCCCCACTCATCGCCAAGTTCGTCTCGATCACCAAACACACTGCTGCTCCCAGGCTTAGCGTGGGCAAGCGGCGCCAGCACGGTGAAGTCGCAAGAGCTCTCGGGAACAGGCGATTGCGCTTCGACCGCTGGACACCTATGGCAGGTTGCCGAGTCCTGCTTCGTGCTAGAGTCTGGACAGTCCTGCGGTAGCGGCGCCGTTGGGGCGCCGACCTTGCTGTAGGCGGGTGCAGGCTCGTCGTTCTTCGCTTGCGACGACTCGCAGCCGAGTGAAGCGCTCGATGGTTCTCGCGAGGCCTTCACGTAGGGTGGCACGCGGTGAACTCCCGGCAGAGTGTCCATCGCTTCTCCGAGAGACGCGTCCATGTTCAGAATAGTATAGGGACCCGCGCAGTCTCGACCTTCAGAAAGCGCGACACCACGCGGAGACGCGTTGAAGCTGGCTTGAGCGTAAGGCTGGCTGAGATCACTCTGCCCAGCTGCACTGTCTTCAAGGCATGGATTCTCGGGCTGCTCCGGTTTCGCGGACGTCTTCGGTTGGCCTTCAGACAGCTTGCCCATAGAGAGCAACGACGGAAACGGGGTGTACCCAGTAAGCCCGTTTTCCGGTTTCTGAAGGGGCTCCCGACTAGACGAGCCAGTGTCGGGCGGCAATGAAGACGTGCACCCCAGTTTGGCGTAAGGCTGCATGGGTATTTCGGCCTCAGCAACCTTCTTGGCGCCGTTCTCGCCAACCTGGACGTAAGGCGATGCCTTATCCGTGCTTCCCATTTCCATGGGCATGGAGCAATCGGGTGTCTTCAGGGTCTCTGGTAATTTATCGTCGCCTGTGCTTTGTTTCTCGAGAAAGGCTGCGAATTTGCTATACGCGTTTTTCTCGGTGCCTGAGGGCGCGTGCGCGCTCAGGAACATCGAAGACAGCCTGGAGTAGTCATTCAGTAGGGAAGGCTTTGGCATGCCTTCCGGCGCTTCGCGCAAGCTAGAAAGCTTCGAGTACGCTGAGTTTGGGCCAGGCACTGGTGTATCGTCCAGTATAGTGGACAGGACAGAATAACCAGCCGCCGGCTGGTTGGCAGAAAAACTTTTATCAGCCGCAGGGCTTGTCTCAGCAGCGTCGAGTTCGTTTGGATCGCTGGAGCACCCTTCGCCGATAAGAAGGTCAAGTTCCGGACAATGCAGGCTATCTTCAACTTCTTGGGCTTCCCTTGGTACGATCTGCGTCAAAATAGAAAGTGGAAGGGGAAAAAATGCGATCAGTGTAAGATCCCTTCTCATGTCTTTGATGATTCGCGTACCAGTATAGTTCACTACCACGTTTTTCAAAGGCATTTAAAGTAAGAAGAAATCAGTATCGCCACAAAAGCGAAGGAGTGAACGCGACAGAAACAATACGAAATGTTATAAGTAGTAACGCTAGCAGCTAACTTTTTGGGACCTCATTTCGTGAAACTACAACACGCTGGTGTAAGGGAATACGGCTGTTCCAGAGAGCGAAGTTGTTTGAGCGCTTTCCGTCAGCTCAATGTGAAGTAAGGGGTGCGTGTGTGTGAGAGAATCCATTAGAAGGCAGAGAGGTTGGCCTGAGCTAGTTCGTTCTCGCCTGCTACTCCACACGGGGGATAAGGGAAGGGGGAAGGAAACAGGGATGAAGGATGATAATGGGGACAAGGAGAGGTGGCGCGTATGTACAGTAGCCACTACAGTCTAGTATCTAGTCGAGTGCTTTTGATAAAGTCTAAAACAGTAAGTGGCGAGCATATAGAGACTGCATGGATATAACATCCGCCTACTGATGTCTGTCGAAATAGTGCATGTGTTTGTGTCAGCGCTCGCGACCGCGGCGCATTGATCAAAGTTCGCTCTTGCTTCTGCAGTCATGCAACTATTCCCCATTCTCCACCCGCTCACCACTGCCCACTGACACACGCTTATGCTCCTTCGTGTGACGAAAGATTGGTTGAGAGCATCCCCTCTTCTAGAGGAGCAATCGATGGCAGGCCTCGCACGCGAGGTGACGTTAGTGCATGTGGCCTTCGGCCGATGAGACGGCCGCAAAGTTTTGTTTCAGCAAGATTGGTCCCCCAGGGCTCGTGCGCATTTACTCGCATATAGAGCATACGATGCGCGGCCCAATGTTATTGAGTTTGAGTTTAAACGAGACATGACGGCGACGGCAAGGGCCCACCGAGAGTGACCATATAATTGATATGGCAGTTAACTGAGAGAAAGTTGTGCATAACATTCCAGAAATCCCCACCTGTGGCAATCCGTAGGGACAATCTTTTCTTCCCAACACATACTCTCGCAGGTTGGAGCGTATGCTTTCGCTTTTCTTGATGGGTTCCTGCAAAGAAAAAAAAAACGATTTGCGGACTCTTCAATGTAGCGGCAATTTCTTTACGACTATCTCTACAAACTTACCTTTGTGAAGTCTGCAGGGATGAGTACCTTGATGGGGGTGTTCTTGTAGATTGATATATACTCCGATATGCTGGAAAGAAAGAGCGAGAATTGTTAGCAAACGTTTCACGCTACTGGGGCTTGAGGACTGAACCGACACACCATTTGCGGTCCTTACCGTTTCCAGGAGAAGACGACTGCCACGGCGACGATGATCAGAACCACGTACAACACGATGAACGAAGTTGCGATGAAGATTGATGCTGCACGAAAGAAAGGTGAGTACTAATCATGGTCCATTTCTGACAAGAAATACTTTTCAAGATTCTTCATGCATGCTGTATATACATATAACTTATGAGAACACTGGAAAATATACAACCGAGGTGCTCTAAACACATTACAGTTCATAAATTACAGTAAAATTTTGATGTGATTATCTCTAATGGAGCACCTACCTATAACTAGGTATTTACGAATAGTCATCTGTCGCATGATCACATTAGGTTTTGCGAGAATATTATTTAGTTACACATCTTTTTCTTCCACTTAGGTTACGTAACGGTCGACGTGAGCCTGCGTGAACATTCATCTCTCTCTCTTTTTTTCTGGTGGAGCTGCAAGTGTTCGTTTTTCAATTGTGGAAAACAAATACGTCGCCAGTGAAGCGTTTTTTTTTTTTCAAAACGGAGCAATTTAAGCCGGACATAATCTGTCTGCGGCAAACAGAAAAATATCACGATGATGAATAAAATTGCGTAATTTTCACCCTCTTTTGCTTCGCCCCCAGAAAACGTGCGTGGCTTTCTCCGGCACGGGATGGAACAACTCTGATAAGCGATACATCGAGTCCAGAGAGAGATACAGAGATTCAGAGAGGGAAAAAAAGGGGGAATAAAGACAGGTAAAAATTGAGCCTTCTTCATTGGCGCAGTTCTGAATAACAAGTAGGCATGACGATGCGACTTGGCACACGAAAGCTGTTTTAAATCAGACAGAATATTTCATCAAACTCTCCTGTCAGATGATTTGGTGCGCACATCATATGCAATCAATATTTTGTACTGCGGCTTCTCTCATAACAATTGTCTCGTGCCTTTCGCGTGTAGGGAAAAAAATGTTTTTTTAGCAATGAAGCTAAGGCTATTCGCCAAAGGAAAAGGAAGCATTTTCAAGCGTGCAAATTTTTTTCAACACTGGAGGTATTCCTAGTCTATCATTCGCCAGCGGTGGCGGTGTATTGGTGGTCACATGGTCTCGTGGCGTGGCAATGGGGAGGGCTTGGAAGAAGGGGAAGGGTGTCTGCGCAGTGCTGGGAGAGGTTTGGCGGAAAGGGGGAACCAGCATCTTGCCTGGTAAGGTGAGCAACCAATGGGAGGCGCGCCAAGACGGGTTAGTGTCGGGCTAAGCGGGAAGCGTGGACCAATGACAGGCGCGCACATAGGGTGAGAGTGAGGCCTGGCGGAAAGCGCGTCGGAACCTAGCCGTTTGCGAGAAGAAAACAAGGAAGTTTAAAAATAATTGCTGGAGCGGAAATTCTTGCCCACTAGTGATGCCATGCCAACCGTTAGATGGCGGCGGAGGCAGCGATCCTACTAGCGGCACGATGAGCTGTTGGAGTTCGGCGATTGAGAAGGAGCGTCCAACATCTCCTTATATATCATATCAATAAAAAAAAGAGAAGGAGCGTTTTGCTCGCACGCCCAACGAATTTAACATGGCAACCTTTTCGGGTCAGATAGGGCTCAAATTGCGACTTTGCGTTACTAGTTTTCTTTGGGAAGCCTCTCAAAGGCAAACTTTATTGAGGATAAAGTCACTGATACTAGTCTCTTCGGATTATTTCTTCAGAAGCAACAATCTTTTAACTTATAATTAACGTAGCTTTTTGACTAACAAATCAAAGCCACTTGAGTGGGCACCACCAGGAAATAGCATGGAGGGGGAAAGATGAGAAGGAAGGCGGGGAGATAAGTAGACGCGTGAAAAAAAAAAACAAGTAATAAACAAGATCGAGTGGGGTGCTATAGCCTACTCAATAGGCCATTACTACGCAAAAAGTTCAATACCACCTTGACTGACTTTCTTTGCTCAAATCCCAACTAAGTAGCTGCCTGAAGTAAATATAATACAAAGGCCACAGCGTGGCGAAGTGGGGCTCTAGCTTCGCGATTTCGGCGGCTTTCAACGGAATTAATCTGGCAGCATTTTTTTTTTTGCTCCTCACTGACGATGTACTTACATTTGGCTTGAGTCTTGAAGATAAGGAGGCGATGGTTAACTGTTGTTCCGTCTTCGAGCGTTGTCTTTACGTCGGCTTGGTACGTGGTGGCTGGCTTGAGATTAGAAAGGCGCACCGTCTTTTCGGGGCCCGCGAGCTCCTCGAAACACTCAGTTGAATCAGCGTCTGGAAAAAGAAAAGAAAAAACAAATAGGAGGAAACAATGATCGAGCATATACGCAGTGACCGACACAGTAGCCTGAGACGTACTTGCCACCTCGCCTAAATCTCAAATAAATAACTTACGACTGTTCTGTAAGTGGGGTAATAAATTTGAATTACAGTAAAGAGTGAGGAAAAGTTATTTAGGTGAAGACCTTAGATTGCATATCAAACGCGAAACGTGACCATCGGCGTCAACACGAGCGATGCAAAGAAGTTTATGCGAGGATGCCACCATGTGACGTCCTAATGACGTGACAGGTCGTTAGATTCAGAGTTATTCAATCATACCAGTTGCGAAACTGCGTTGCGAAACCCGGACACGCAGTAGGTCTAAATTTTTAGAGCGTTATCTGACTGTTGCGCCACCTAGGAGCGGCAAGGCAAAACACAAATAATGTGATTGATTGATTGATGGATGGATTGATTGATATGTGGGGTTTAGCGTCCCAAAACCGCCATATGGTTATGAGAGACGCCTTAGTGGAGGGCTCCGGAAATTTCGACCTCCTGGGGTTCTTTAACGTGGACCCAAATCTGAGCACACGGGCCTACAAAATTTCCGCCTCCATTCGAAATGCCGCTGCCGGAGCCAGGATTTGATCCCGCGACTTGCGGGTCAACACGAATAATGTGTTTCACAGTGAGTGTGTTGATGAAAACGTGGCGCGACAATCTGCTCATTCTGGATTTTGATACATGAAGCCTATGGGGAGTTTCGCAACTCATATGTTTGAAAACACTGGTGAGGTTATCTCCGTATGTTTCAACAGAGGAATGAAAAAAAAATTGCTATGAGCTCTAGAATCGTTGTTTAGGTGATGTAAGTATGCTCTACTGAATTAGTCCATTATATGCAACGTCTTGAGTAAAGATAAATCTTAACATGTTTGCCGAGATAACTACCGTGTGTGATAAAACCGTGCTTCGTTTGATAGAATGCAGAGCATCAAATGGATATATTCCTTTGTTTTCATTCAGGTTGGGCCACGTAGTATGATTTAATTTTGACTGTCGAAGTGGTATAGATGACCGCACATTTTTTTTTTCGGCGTAACGAGGTGCTGTAAATCTTGCCATAAAGACGGGAAACATAAGATGTCGCCTTACATACCCTCTTATGACGTTAGTGTTGTGGACCCTGTAGTTCAAGTTCCTGCGACGAATATTCGCTGTCGCTGCGCAAATTCCTTCAAAAGACTACGTGACTTTATGTCGAGAGAATTGAATAATTTGATGCCTAGTAAAAGTGGTTTCACTCTTATTTTGTGAAATAATAATAATAATAATAATAATAATAATAATAATAATAATAATAATAATAATAATAATAATAATAATAATAATTGTTGTTGTTGTTGTTGTTGTTGCTTGAACACACTCCAACACAGAGTTAATAGCGAGAGAATAGGCTAACAGCTGTCATCTAGAGGGGCACATCGCCTGCCCACTCTTTCGGGAGGCGGGAAGAGACAGGGGAAAGAAAATAAAGAGAAACTTAAACAAGACTATGAAGATGGGTGTGTTGGTAATGCACAACTTTTGACCTCGCGCGAATATTTGGCATAGGACAGGACAAGGTACGAAGATGCGCGGTAGTGTTTGTTCCTTCTCTTGTCCCGTGTGAGACGTTTGCGCTACGTGAGCAGTTTCTTCATTTCCTCTGCATATTCTGTACACTTAATCTGCATAGAAGTAACAAAGACGGGGACAAAATAGGTTGCAACCTAGAAAAACGTCTATGCATGCAAAGACAAGTCAGCTTAGTTCATGAAACTGAGCGGGGCCCGCTGGGCCTGGTCACGTGGAGCAACAAACATCAGACATCAATATAGCGTTACATTAATGTCTGTACAAGCGATATCCGTAAACAATGCATCACTTCATTGATCTGATAGGGATTCTGGAGGCCCACCGCTGAGTCGTTGGGCTTCAAGGTCTGGGACAATTCACAGTTCTATTACGTTCCGGACATGCGCCGTACGCACTTCTATGCGTGCATGGCGTATATCTTTCCCTCTCTTTCTCTTCTTCGTTCATTTCCTCCTCTTTTCCCTTTCCCTGCGCAAGGTAGCAAACCGGCTTCAACCTACATAACCTCCTTTCGCTTACGTTGTTTTGATTTTCTCTCTCTCGCTTGAATGCCGTTACCTGTTGCATTGTACGCGTTCGTAGCAGCCACCGCTTCCAACGACGTCTCGTTGCGCTGAGGCTCCTCCTTTTCCTGGACGGCACACACACGCACGACGCGGCTGGCAACAAGGCCGGAACACTTGGTGAGGAAGGCAAGCTGCACCGTTGTGTCCGTGACTTCGTCGTAGTGCACGGCGTCTTCTCCTTGGAATAGGCTCTGGTACTCTGAAACGCCCAGACAGCTCCCTTAAACTGAAATATTCCAAGAATATAAAATGTTGACGCCGAATTACATTGATTTATTTTAGGTCTGGAAGTCACCGATGCGCTAAAGTGTCTGTCACTGGTATGATAACGAGTTCTCTGGAACATCGCCTTGTAGGAATTTACTAAATTGTCAAAGATATTGAGAGTAAAGATTCCATGCTTTTTTCCTGTTTCCCCCTCTTTCCTTGTTTCCTTGATTTGTTCTTATTTTTCCCTCTTTCTTCTCAATTTCATTTTTTTGGGGGAGTGGCGGCAAATATTCGGTTCATGAGCTGTATCCTCATTTTCTTTTTTATACATTTTCAAACTTTTCAAGCTCTTATGCGTATTTTTTCATCTTGCTTCTATAGTCAATCAACAATATACCTTATAGGGGCATTGAAACACTTTTTCAAGTAATCATGGAATGTATTTACCGGAAGAGCTTATTGCCTCACGAATTCAACGCCGCTAAAATTTTAAGAGTCCGTCGAGTGTGAGTGGAGTTACAAAGATTAGTCGCATGCTGCAATTGAATTCTCTCTTTTTTCCCCCCCGACGAAAGCGCTGGAAGCTAAGCAGGGAGGGATGGCAGGGGCACTGAAAAACATCACGCGCGCCTCGTGGCCTTAAGCACATTTTCTTTCTTTTTTCTTCTAATGCGCGACTTTTTCCGTGCGATCGCGCGCGCACGCGAGGACAAGTAGCGGTCTCCCGCGGCGATCTCTGTAACGAGCGAGCGCGCCATGTTCAAGTCAGCCGATGGCTGATAGATGGACTCGCTACGAGTGATTTTTTGTGAGAAGAGAAAGCAATGTTTAGCTGAATTTGATAATTTATTGTGAACTACAGGCCGTGTGCTGCGCTATAATATTTGGCTCGCGTGTTGTCGGGAGCCCCTACTACCGAATGGCACTGTTTTCTGACCATGCTAGAAAGTGTCGCAGGGCCCCTTTAGGGTTTTCATTAAAACTATCAGACTCTTGATCAAGCCCTCAGTGTGGGCGTAAACCACGAGCTCTAAAATCCACTGTACTCTACTGTATATCATCCTGACAGTCTTTATTTTTATTTACGTCATGTAACACAAAAAGACTCTCTCTCCGTTCATGTGCGCGCTGTCTTCAAAAAAAGAAAAAAAACTGCACCACCAGCACCAGCATAATTTCGGCAAAGTGCATCGTACGGAGGCTAGGCTTTTTCACAATTGGAAAGCAAACCTTTATCCCTTCCCCAGTGCAGGGTAGCAAACCGGATGTGCGTCTGGTTAACCTCCCTGCCTTTCCTTGCATCTTTATCTCTCTCTCTCACTTCACGATTGGAAGAATTTTGTAAGGTACCTCGAGATGGTTTAGGATTCGTTCGGCTCACCTTTGCTACGCGGGACGATGCACTCGATCCACACCATGGAAGACACGGACTGCGCCGAGCGCGTGGCGACGCCGTAGCGACATAGTCCCGCCATCGCGCAGCCCACCGCCGTCAGGGCGTCGCCCGTTGACTTGACGGACGCCCAGGACACGTCTCCGTCGCAGGACTCCGCGTCCTTCCTGTCCTGGCGGCACCAGAACAACGTGTAGTGGTGCACCAGGCTCCTCTCTTCCCACTTGGCGAGCGAGAAGCGAGGCTGTTGCGAGTCTCGGTTCTCGCTCATGTAGGCGTGTTGCACCGGCGGCAGAACTGCACGAAGCCCCAATAAGGGACACACGTAAGCAGTATCTTTGAAAAGACTGGGTAAGATGAAACGGAAAGGTCGCGCTCGGTCTTTAGTTATATCTAATGCACCAGCCTTGGTGCCCGTATTCACGAAGAGCAGTCAGGTAGAATGGTTGGCGGGTTGGAATGAAGTCGTATTTGATAAACCATGCACCGCTATAACGACGGAGACAGGCAGTCAAGTACGGCTGCAGAAATCTTGGCTCGGCTCGGCCTGATTACGGAAGCGAAAGCTACAAAACAAAACGCTCTCTCCACCCTGCAACAGACGCTCGCGTACTCCTCAGAAAGCAGATCAAGGGCATCCGGAGAGGTGGACATACGAGCCGACGGACGCGTTCCCTGTAGGCTTGTGTTCAACTGCAACGCCACAACTAAATGTCCCGTGGCTTGTCACGGAGTATTCGTTTATCGCTTGAAGGCCACTCGGAGATACACAGCAAAACTCGCTTGACGAGGTCAGTGAAGCTGTCGCTTTAAAGGGGGGCTCGTTCAGTGCCCCTTTTTCTGTGTCCGTCATTTTTGCGCTGGTTTTTAAATTCCCAAAGAGCAGCTATACGCACGGATTTTTCGTAAGAGGAAGTTCAGGCCACTTTTGATACTAAATCAAATCATCTGTAGGTTTATATGGCCGGTGAAAATATGCTTACGATCGAAAAGCTCCGCGACAGTGCATAAGGCTATCTATCTATCTATCTATCTATCTATCTATCTATCTATCTATCTATCTATCTATCTATCTATCTATCTATCTATCTATCTATCTATCTATCTATCTATCTATCTATCTATCTATCTGTCTGTCTGTCTGTCTCTCTGTCTGTCTGTCTGTCTGTCTGTCTGTCTGTCTATCTATCTATCTATCTATCTATCTATCTATCTATCTATCTATCTATCTATCTATCTATCTATCTATCTATCTATCTATCTATCTATCTATCTATCTATCTGTCTGTCTGTCTGTCTGTCTGTCTGTCTATCTATCTATCTATCTATCTATCTATCTATCTATCTATCTATCTGTCTATCTGTCTATCTGTCTATCTGTCTGTCTGTCTGTCTGTCTGTCTGTCTGTCTATCTATCTATCTATCTATCTATCTATCTATCTATCTATCTATCTATCTATCTATCTATCTATCTGTCTATCTGTCTGTCTGTCTGTCTGTCTGTCTATCTATCTATCTATCTATCTATCTATCTATCTATCTGTCTATCTGTCTGTCTGTCTGTCTGTCTGTCTGTCTGTCTGTCTGTCTGTCTGCCTATCTATCTATCTATCTATCTATCTATCTATCTGTCTGTCTGTCTGTCTGTCTGTCTGTCTGTCTGTCTGTCTGTCTATCTATCTATCTATCTATCTATCTATCTATCTATCTATCTATCTATCTATCTATCTATCTATCTATCTATCTATCTATCTATCTATCTATCTGTCTGTCTGTCTGTCTGTCTGTCTGTCTGTCTATCTATCTATCTATCTATCTATCTATCTATCTATCTATCTATCTGTCTGTCTGTCTGTCTGTCTGTCTGTCTGTCTGTCTGTCTGTCTGTCTGTCTGTCTGTCTGTCTGTCTATCTATCTATCTATCTATCTATCTATCTATCTATCTATCTATCTATCTATCTATCTGTCTGTCTGTCTGTCTGTCTGTCTGTCTGTCTGTCTGTCTGTCTGTCTATCTATCTATCTATCTATCTATCTATCTATCTATCTGTCTGTCTGTCTGTCTGTCTGTCTGTCTGTCTGTCTGTCTGTCTGTCTGTCTGTCTGTCTATCTAATCTATCTATCTATCTATCTATCTATCTATCTATCTATCTATCTATCTATCTATCTGTCTGTCTGTCTGTCTATCTATCTATCTATCTATCTATCTATCTATCTATCTATCTATCTATCTATATATCTATCTATCTATCTATCTATCTATCTATCTAATCTAATCTAATCTATCTATCTATGATTTCAACGCCACTCACCCAGGTCGGCGCTGGGCACGAGCACGCGGACGCTCCTGTTCGAGCGGCCCAGCTCGTTCTCGGAGTACAGGTGAAAAGTGTAGCTCTCCACTCTGCTCAGGTTGAACAGGTCCGCGTAGGAGCGCTCGCCGGACACCCTGTGCGTGCCGCACTCTCCACTGCTGCTGCACCAGTGCAGCACGTAGCTCATGTGGTCGCCGTTCCACAGGAATTTCGGCACTCGCTGCTCGAGGTGGCGCGGAGACAAGAGAGGGGACGGAGAGATATGCAAACAGCCGTTGGCGTTCGAATACATCACTCGAGTGTAGTAATTATGAGAGGGAGGAAAAATGAATCAGTGTTGACGAAAACAATATGGAGCCCTTTCCATATAGCGAAAAACTTGGCAGTTGCTTAGCTCGGCTATGTCAGGGTATACGTAGCCTGAGCTACAATTGGATGGATGGACGGATGCACGGACGGATAGACGGACAGACGAACAGACAGGCTGACATTCTTCATTGTGAGGTAAGAAAAACAAATCCTCTGCCCACACCATAAACATATATCAGGCAGTGCCAATTTGAAAATAAAAGTGAACAGGGCCGGGGTAATTAAAACGTTAAGGGGAAAAGAAGTGCAGAAAAAGTGGCCTCCATCCCTATTCGTACCGGCAAAAAAAAAAAAAAACTCTTGTTCTACAATGTTGTTCTTGCTGCTAACATGCTTGGCCGAGTTAAATCTTCAGTGATGAATGCTTGCGATGCGTGGCTTAATCGGGCTGCTTTAGGGATTCTTGCTTTACACAGACAGACAGACAGACAGACAGACAGGCAGGCAGACAGACAGACAGACAGACAGACAGACAGACAGACAGACAGACAGACATTCTTTCTTTCTTTCTCTTTTTCTTTCTTTCGCTTTTCCTTTCTTTCTTTCTTTCTTTCTTTCTTTCTCTTACATACCATTATGCTACCCCTTAACATTTTCCGTCCTCCACGCCGGAAATCAGCCCTTTCCCCACGTTCTTAATAGCGCCACACTTCTGTTGTTCTAGGCAACAATATTTCAAACGTAAAACAGTAAAATGCACATAGTCTTTACATCAGTCTCCCTTTTGTGTTCCTTATGTTGCGCTTACGAAATCGCGCAAGTTCTGCACCAACTAACAGGCCCAAATTTTCTGCGTTGAATATCAGCGACGAAACATGTCAACGTGGAACGACAAGCGACTTCGATGAGCGATCAGATATCTATACCCGATATCCAACCATTGGTGCTTCTCATTTCCAAAACATGTACAAATGTACCGCACTTTATAGGATTTACTGTATATGTCGTGTATGACATTGTAGTAGGAGGAGAAGGAGAGGTTGAGGAAAGCAAAAGACGCAACCTATAGTTAGCCATATATATAAGAGCTATATAGTTAGGAGCATAGCACAGCGCCTGTAGGTTAATGGGGAGAAGGTATTGAAGATGCGGAGAAGAAGGAAGAAGGGAAATGGTGTTTATGACAGAGAACATGGCGGGCGGCTTCCATAAGACACTCTTTGTTTACAAACACAGACCCTTGATGAAATCCGGTTCCTTCCACCGACGTGTCTGAATAGCATCGGTGGGCAAGAATAGCTTTAGAAAATAGGTCGCTCATTTTCTACAGTTTTCTTGCCTTATTTGGCAAAATATATTCAAATAAATGTTCTGTTCAGCTACATAAAAATTATGAGAGGTTCCTTTGAACTCCCTGCACATTATTTTCATCCGAAAAGAAAAACTAAATACAGACAGTTTTTACATTTAAGAGAAACTTGAAAACGTTCTTTCAGTTTCGACGTTCGGAGCTGGTAAATGAGGTGACCGGAAGTTTTCCGGGGTTTGTTTGTACGCTTGCAATCCTGAAACCGTCTATAGCTGGTTGTCCAGTCCTGTGTCCCCAAGGAAGCGAAGGACCGCCTTGAAGACCTGGGTGCGGTGCCGTGCAGGAAAGAAGAGGTCCCTCTGTGTCGCCGAGAGACCTCCTTTTCCCTGCACGGCATTGAGTTTCCTAATATACTCTAGAGGGAACTCTGGCGCTAGTGTCTATGGTAGCTGCAGCGCACGGCGCTTCAGCGAGCATGCGAATGATGGGCAGTACACAGATTTATTTGACTCATCTTCGTACTTCTGGCCTGCTTCTGGCTCCGTGTGTGTTCGTGTGGCTTGGAGCTGTTTTCTCACGAAACAAAATAAAGATAAACAAACGTTCAGCGATTGCGCTTAACCACTTAATTCCTTAGAATTACTTGTTGAAATCGGATCACGAAGTTCGAAAGGGTTCGCTTTTTTTTTCTCGAACCAAAACCAAAACGCAGCAATAAACGAGGCTACAAGTACGATTTGCCGCCCGCAAGTATGAAGACTATAGGTAAATTTGTGTACTGCCCGTCATTCCCATAGTCGCTGAACGATCGCAGCGCCAGAGGCCCCTCTAGTTTTAGGAAACTCTGTGCTGCACGGTACCACACCCAGTTCTCCAAGGCGAGTTTTCGTTTCCTTGGGGACACTCGCGCTACACAATGGGTGGACAACTTCTAGGAGCTTGCCCCTTATGCCTGAGCCTCGTCCATTCGTCCCGCCGCAGTAGCCACACTTCCTCCAGAGCAAATGATAAGGTCAGAATAGAACACGACGCACGCGTATCTCTTTTTGCACGAGTGGGCATGCCGGGCAAGTGACGCTATAGGCTAGCAAAACGCGAGCTCCGATGCGAGACGCAACCAATTTTTTGGGGTTTAACATCCTAAAGCTTTTGCTGTCCCTGATAGGGGGCGTCTTTGTACGAGGGTCGAGTGGATGTACGGAGGATTCACGTTTTACCGCCCCGCCACGGTGGTCTAGTGGCTAAAATACTCGGCTGCTGATCCGCAGGTCGCGGGATCGAATACCGGCTGTGGGGGCTGCATTTTCGATCGAGCCGGAAGTGCTGTAGTCCCGTGTGGTCAGATTTGGGTGCACGTCAAACAACCTCAGGTGGTCGAAATGTCCGGAGCCCTCCACTACGGCGTGTCTCATAATCATAACAGTGGTTTTAGGACGTTGAACTCCACAAATGATTTGAATCGATTCACTGTTTGCCAGATTTAGCATCCGGAACAAGCTCCTTGATCCTCGTTCACTTCGTGGATATGGCGTTTTTTTTTTCTCTCTCTCTTTATGTTGCATTGATTGAATAGATCGTTATATGGCATCTATCTCTCTTATCACTTCGCGAATAGATCATTATATGACATCTATCCTTCTTACTACTTCGAATGCACTCAGATTAATGTAAGAGATGCACGTAATGGTCAAGATCAGCCGCTACCTGATAATAGAGCCGTACTTTCCGGCGGTCGTCGAGGTCCTGGATGATGAAGCTGTTTTCCGCAACCTTGGGCAGCACTGTTGGTCCTGGACGATAAATGCGCATAATATCAAGGCTTATAGCTGAACACTTAAGCGCTAGTTGTATTCTACACTAGCTGCTTGATCTCATGACCTTTTTCGTGGCAGGGGAAGCTTAGTGCTTTCCCATAGTGAAGTACATTGTCTAAATCGTCGGACATGGTACTAACAAAGTACTAAGTACTTTGACTCATTCAAGGGACCCTCTAAAGCTTGAAAACAGCGGTGCCGACTGCATAACTCGTAGTGGCGCTTTGCCAGCACTACTGCGAGCGGAAAAGACGCCGGAAGGTTGCTGCCGTATGATTGAATAAATGTAACGTTAAATGTTATCGCGGCACTGTATCAAAATAGAGGTTTATATTTGATTTATTTTTTCACCATCATGTTTTTTTTTTTTTCAAAGTGACAGAGACTAAACCTTTCCGGCTTTTCCAGCTTGAATACTGCAAAGCTGGTCAAAGAATGCGCCGAACGCCATGTGCAGGAGGAAACGCGCCAGTGACGCTCCGGGTGCCGTTATTTTAAGAAAATAAAAAAAATGTAAGAGCGCTGATATATATACGTCATTACAAAAAGAAAAATCAGTTAAAGCTACAAAACATTATAGAAGCGCTCGCGAGCTGGCTCGTTTCGCACGTGTCGAGCTTCTTGTAGAGTAGGGCCTTGAGTTCATTTTATTGGGCAGCCTTCCGACGTCAGCGACTGAGGGAAACATGGTCAGGTGAACCCGCGAAAATCGAGTTGAGGGTAAGCATCCGTTTCATTGTATTTTGATATCTCTACGCTGAATAACTTTGCACTGCATGGCCCTATCGCTGCCGTTCTTTGCGGAACTTATCTCTTGAGCCGTCCGTGTACGCAACCAGCTAGAAAAACATGTGAAACCATGAAGTCGTGAAAAGGGTTAGAGGGCTCCTTCAAGTACTTTTTCTAAAAAAAACATATATAGTATAGAGTACATCGTACTCTAAATTGTCGGTGATTTGTTCTAAACAAAAATGATGTAAAGTTCAGGGGTGACTCGCTACTCTCCCGTAGTGAAGTACATACGTTCTGCTCAATCGTCATCCTTTTTCCTAAACGATCCGCTGATTGCGGTGGACCATACAAAGCGCCGCAAATCCCGCTTGAAGCGGCTTATAGTCCAGGCTTGTTCTTTGCCCATCGTCGTAGTTACGCTTTACTCTGGCGCGTGCTCGTCTATAAATGGAAACCACTGGCAGCGCTGTGCTGCTCTGTGTAATAAAAGCTCTTACTCCACTCTCTCTCTCATGAACACAACATAGTATAGTGTGAATTAAGACATGAACATGAGAGCGGTGGAGGCGAGTGCTCGCAAAGCGCGCCTGCGTTTGCAAGCATGAACGCCTATACGGGGATGAATAAAGAGTATACCTCTTTACAGAACTTCAAGTCGACCCATGGCTGTATCGTAAACTATAGGGTTCCCTTTACGTGGAAGATGTGTGTGTTTTTTTTATTTTTGTAATGGCATCTTCATTTTAGACGCTGCTTTTACGTGCAGTGGCTAACTTATGGGAACGGTCATGGCTTACCACGACTGCATAGAACTGTATGGTGTTCTCATTTGTTCTAAACCAAAGTGGAGCAGTTGAGGTTCTGAATCGCCTGCAGTTCTGAAAGCGAAATCTCTGGATTTCTCGTCAATCGCCAAAAGTGATAACCTGCGTTCCTATACAGTACATGATGCTCTAAGTTGTCTACGATTTGATCTAATCATTTCTTATTCACTACTTGGAACTTCTATTCCCCGTGGTGCACCCTGTACAATGCATGGGACAAAACCTACGTGTTTTGCTTGTCTTGCAGTAGCGACTCTGGCCGAAGGGACTCCACACTTGGTCCTTGGCCTTGGCGAACTTGACCCTCACGGAAATGTCATAGCGGGTGTTCGGTATGAGCTTCTCCACGGAGGTGACTTGCCTGTTTGGGACCTGTTGGAAATTACAAAAAAAAAAAGTGATCTACGGCTCGTTGACCTACGCCACGGTTCTTTTAGGCGTGCAAAGAAGGATTTACGGGATATACTTTCCCGACTGATAATTCTGATCTTATATGTGGGGTCTAACGTTCCAAAACCACCATATGATTATGAGAGACGCACCCGACTGATTATTTTCTTGCTTTCAAGGAGCGTATCGTCTAGGGAAACCCTATCAAAATGAGGAAGCGTCAGACGACACTTCACTGCGTCGCTTGCAGTCTTGGCATGTACCTCCAAGTGCGCGCGCGTCAATTTACCTCGCTCTCTCATTCTTTCTGTCACTGTGTTGTATCGCTACTTTCTGTACGTATGATCTATCTGTCTTTCACTACTGACTCTTACTGTTGTCATTATTTTTCTAATAAGCAGCATTTTATGATAGGCTTACTCATTAATGTGTACGTTGCATGTGAATGTATGTCTCAAGAAGAAAAATAAAATAAAAGTTTATTAATCCTAAAGGTCTATTATTCCTAAGGGGAGGTATAGTCAGCCGGGCAATGCTTCTCAGCCACCTCACTGGCTCTGTTTGTGGTCTGAAGCTGGACACCCGGGTATTTTAGATGACAACATCTTTTCCACGCCACATGTGAAGAAGTGACCGAGATATGAACTGGTAAAAAATCTTCACTAAAGTTCCATGAAATATAGAAGACAGGGTGGCGATTTCCCAGCCTTATGAGCATTGGGGACTAATGAGGTGAGAATAGAAATGCGAGTAAACATATGGGGAGGGGAAGGCATTCGTCAAAAGATCTCCCGCCTTCTTCGTCAGCCTGGCGGGGGGGTCATGGTAGACAATGGTTGCAGAGAATCATTGCAAGCAACTCAAGAAGATAAGCGCCATAGAGATCTCAAGCGAGAGACGAAAATTCTTCTCTTTTTCTTATCTTTTCAGCGTACCGATATCGTGATGTCTTCGCCGTTGTCGTGCTTCACGCGCACTTCGTAGACCACATCCGGAAAAGTCGATATGGGAGGCAATCCCGTCCAGTTTACGCTGGCATTGAACGCCATGGCGTTGCAGTACACCACTTTCGGAGGTTCGAGCACAACTGCAAACATTAACAGTAATGTAACACCACATTTGAGACGCCGCATTGTCGTATGTCACGTACACGAACCCATGTTACAAGTGTTTATAATACATAAGATTTCAGTAGCCTTATTTATATAACCGCAAGTTTCATGCTACATTTTGGTTTGACAGTTTGGGGATATTAGCAAGCTTTCAAAGTAGTTTCAAAGCATATCAGCATTCCGATATCCGATAGTTGCAATATTGGACACTAAAACAACTAGCAACATTTTCCTGGCAGCTTGCCCAATGAAAACGAATTATAAAATGCTTTCTAATTGCTAAAGTAACAACAAAGTTTCTTTAAACTCACTATTTTAGAAAAGCACATCTCAATTCTGTCGTCTTCATTATTTTGTGTGGATACGATTTTTAATCATTCGATCGCAAAAAAGGAGATGTGTTTTGTAGCGCATAATTTAAAACTGATCATCAAAACGATTCGACTATTTTTATGAATTGCTGTTTCGGTGTACATGATTTCTACCGGCTGGTGAACTGTAACTCTGCTACTCTCCCCAGATGAAATTCAACATTGTGTTAACATCTGTTAAGCACTTTAATCTTTTTTTTTCGCATGGCGGCTAGCCAAGCAAAACGTAGGGGACCTACCGTTGGCAAAGTGGTCCACGACGTATTCCCATTTTTTGGCACCGAACATGTTGCTTCCAATCATTTCGAAACGGAGGACCTCCTCTTCGATCCTGTAGATGAGCCTTCCCGAAGTCTTCAGCTGGCAAGTCAGCTTTCGCGGCTTGATACTCACGGAATTCTTGCACTCGATACGGCTGAAGGCAGTTCTTGGCCTGCGGCCAAAGAAGGGCAAGCATAATGCTAAGGCTCGGCAATATCACAAGTCGTTCGCCATCTTAGTCGATTGTACTCGAATGAGAATAATGTATATTTTAATGGGGAAAGGGAGCACACAGGTGTGGTGGAGGGCCCCCCTCCTCCCGGGGGGGGGGGGCGCCATGAATGTTGCGTGCATTTACCTAATATGAGCTGTCCAGTAATTGTTTAAACATAAAGTGCATGGTTATGGCAATGCATGTTTTTGACGATAATAGCAGGCCAGGACCCCTGACATTGCATTCCAGTATCCGCCTTCACCCCTGCCACCATAGCCGCAGGCCGAACTCAGCCTGTTCGTGAGAGGCATGTGATCTCGTCATTATCATTTCCGAAGTTCACCGATTACACAGCGCGTTTTCTTTCGTACCTTCTTTTAGACAGTCGGCGGTAGGGGGCTTCTTCGGCGAAACTTCGGAAATAGCTTCGCAAATAATTCCTATCTACTCATCTTGAGGATTACAGCTAACGTTTATTCACGTTTATACTAAACGTACATGAATTCACACGTATGCTGAATTAGGATCGTTCATACACTATTTCAATAGTTATTTATCGGAGGGGTGAATTACGTAGGGAGGGTTGCCTTAACCTCAACCCTCCACCAGCTCTTCCGCGGAAGAACTTGATAAATATGTCTTACTTTGTCGTCTCTTGCACAAAAAAAGAAGCCCTTACTCATTTACAATCACTCATATTTTGTACTCCAATTATGGTTCTACATCGAAAGATTCCAAGAAGGGCACTGATTACATGAGATATTGGTTTTAAAGAGCAATGACACCTTGGTCGAAAGCGCTAATTTTAGGCTAACGGACTCGTGTGTCGACTCACTCGTACTCGGGATGAGTCGGAATGAGTCCGGGGAAGCAATGAATGGTTTGGTGAGCTTAAGTCCGAGTGAGTATACGGTATACGGAAATTTTCGGGACTGTGAGTTCAGCTCACAAAAATTTTATTTAGTATGAGTTTGTGTGTGCCCACAAAGGGCAAAATATATTTAGTGAATTTGTCTGAGTGACCTTCGCAATTCTTGTTGACCTCTACGCATATCCAAGCATCCTCAGAAGTAACTGGAAATTGCGCGGGTTGGCATTAATCTCGTAGCTCTACTAAACGCCGCAAGTTCGTTCAGTCGATCTATATAACTCATTAGCGCGCAAGAAAAAAAAAAAATCACAGCATCTCTACGGAGTGAATGATGATGAGTGGGGCGAAGCGTCCGTCTGTACGTTCGTTCTTGCTTCCGTCCGTCCGCGCGTCCATCCATGCATCCGTCCGTCCGTCTGTTCGTGCGTCAATACGTCCGCGCGTCCGTCCATGCGTCCATCTAGTGAACACTCCAAGAACCGACATCTCGCATCCCCTGTGGCACATACCCGCTCCGGGCATCCATACATCCACCCATCCGTCTGCTAGACAGTCTGTCCGTCCGTCCATCCATGCGTCCGTCCGTCCGTCCATCCATGCGTCCGTCCGTGCGTCCATCTAGCGAACACTCAAAGTACCGCCACCTGTCACCTCGTTTCCCTGTGGCTACGTACGACAACGACGGAGGATGGACAGATCGACCCACGCGTTAAGGAGCTTCGCCCCTTAAAAAATAGACACTTACCCAACTAGCAGACTGACTGTGTACCGAGTCTCGATTCGGTTGTCCGGTGTCTCCCAGTCACACTGGAATGTCTCAAACTTTTCTCCCGAACACGACGGTTTGGCAGGCATCTGCGGAAAATCTGAAACGACCGATGCAATTAACAGGTAAGCCTTCAAAGCAGGAATCACCTCATTACCACTTCCACAAGGTGTGGATCAAGGGAGAAAAAAAAGGCTTGAAGGTCAACCAAATGTGCTTCCGGATTGCTACCCTACTTTAGGCGAATGGGATTAGGAATCAAGGGAATTGGAGAGAATAAGGAAAATCGGAAATGAACAAACCGACGATCGCACTCCTTCAGTCCCTTGTTAGACACACTTCACGTGTAGTTCCATGACGTGGATAGTGGGACCGCGCGGGAACCCTGGGACGTACGCGCCATAATCACATGGTCAAATAAAGTTTTGCCTCCTCCACTTCGCGTCTCCATTGGTAAACTCAAAACACCATATATGCTGAGTTTGCACGACAGGTTTAGTATAATCCATGTCGAGTGTTTGTGAGTGGTCAGTTTCATGACTCTTCAACACTACCTTTCAGTAATGAGCACATCTGTCGATTCCTCATAACAATAATGATAATAAATATATCAATAATAATTATTAATAATATTATTATCATCACCATCATATTCATAGTACAAAACTTACCGCGTGCACTGCACACAACTGTGAAGTCTTTGGGCAAGCGCATGCCAAAAATAAAACAGTAAAAAGTAATAGTGCACGTTCTTAAGAACAAAATACAAATAAGAGCTGCAGAAAAGCCGACACGAGAAAAAAAAATCGGCGCGGCTGGGTAATAATGCAACAACACAACACGAGAAATATTAAAGGGCAATGAACTCACTCAGGCTTCATTACAGTGAAGCCAGACGATTCCGAAGTCTAATCTGGTTGTTTCTAGATTGGTTTTTATGTGGTTGCTCTATTAGCTAGGTAGCCCCGCCGCGGTGGTCTAGTGGCTAAGGTACTCGGCTGCTGACCCGCAGGTCGCGGGTTCGATTCCCGGCTGCGGCGGCTGCATTTTCGATGGAGGCGGAAATGTTGTAGGCCCGTGTGCTCAGATTTGGGCGCACGTTAAAGAACCCCAGGTGGCCGAAATCTCCGGAGCCCTCCACTACGGCATCTCTCATAATCATATGGTGGTTTTGGGACGTTAAACCCCACAAATCAATCATCTATTAGCTAGGTAATTATAGGATGGTTGGATTGGATATACTTTCATTTGGCCCTCCAAAACACAGATCACTGTGTTGCGGTTAGATGGTTCTCAGGATCAGATTAGGCCACGGACATACACAGACAGGCCACGAACGTCCAAGCTGCCGAAGCAGGAACGCACGTTTAAATCGAGACTTTGCACCTCCCATACGGCCACGTAGCCATTCGTGTGGACCTTGCATCGGTTCGGGGTCTTCTCGAAACCTCTGCTGCCTTTTCCGTTCCCTAGTATTTTCTCGTCGTACCCACCGCTGAATCATTCCGTGCAGATGCTTCAGCGAAGCCTAAACGTGCGTCCATGAGCTTATTCCGAACCTTTGTAAAAAATTTCCTCAGTTGCCGGCTACGTCTGTCTAGAAATCTTGATTGGACTCGCTCTCTGGATTTCGTGCCGACTGGTTGTGCTCCCGCGATTTCCGAAGACAGTGCAATGGCCGACTGGCTCGCCCTACGCCATCTCCTGCCGCCGACAAGAGCTCTCGCTGAGTGGTGCCCCGTCTTCGTACTCCTGCGACCGTGTCCACCTTTCCTATATATCTTCTCCTTCCTTCTGGGTGTCGCTGTCCCTGCGCCGTCCTCTTTTCTCCCCCCCCCCCCCCCCCTCTGCTTCTATACATTTAATCCTATCCTTTTAATACCTCCTTACCCTCATCCCTCGTGAGCTACTGTTGAGGTATCGCACTCTGATGCAGACAGTTACGGGGCTCACTTTTATCTTCTTTTCCCTTGAGGAATCATATAAGAAATCTTAATTGGTGTCTGCCGCCCAGCTGTTCTTTTCTTTATTTTTAATAGGCCAGCGGTGAGCATAGAGTTAATGTACAGACAGTTTGTATATCAACTCTATGGCGGTGAGTAGTGAATTCGTCCGTTTCTGTGGCACATATTCGTCGATGATTATGATCATTCTTGTGCACCTTCGATACACTATTGTGTTCGCGACCAGCTTAAACCGCTTCGCTGTTGAAATATAACTGCATGTACACAGCTAAGTGGAAAATTGACTGAAAGACGCAGAAAGGTAGAATTAGTACGTTGGGCAACATCATTTTTAGACAAGCAAAGCTCGCAATAAATCAATAACCACGAACTGTACAAACGGCTTTTAAAAAATTAGCAGATCCCGCGTACAGTGGGAATCGATGATATGTGAAGCACGAATGAGGAAGGTTGGTATGTCACTTTCAAATCACCGCAACAATACGAGGTGGCGGTAAATTATGCCGTATACACGACTTCCGTGTCATAATTATCATATTGTCACGGGGTCGTGACGTGGCCGAAGACAGGAAACTTCGTGTTGGGATTTAACTGTTTATTTGGGCGAACCTGTGCCCGGTAAAGGGAAAGTCTAATTACAGCAGCAGTCTTGCACAGATAGCAGTCTCGAACTGATAGCGACGAACGCAGCGTCGGCCTTCGATCAACAACTGACAAGCGGCGAAGCGCGTCGGCATTTATACTCTTGCCGTCGAATGTTCTAGCGTTATCGCTGGCGGCGGCGTAGGTTCCAGAACAATCTGTACCGTTCGCACAGTGGGCGTGATCTTATCGAAATGATCTACTACAGTCCGGAACCTTCTCGAAACCTGCAGGCGCGGTTTGCGCCGAGAATCGTGTGGTGTTTCGGAACGATAACAAAAACTTGGGAAATGGAACGTGGCAATAATTGGATGTGTTGTTTACATTCGTCATCTATTCACGTCACGTGATGGCAAATTTAGTACATGTGGAGCTAGCGAAACGGCCGCGAGCACGCTATGAGCGGGGTATGTTGTCATGTTCTTACATGACACGCGTCTCATAATTATCATGTCTGCACCAGTAATGTACCTTCGTCGTTAAATGACGTAACGTAACACCAAACTTGGTATATGCGGAGCTAGGGCCTCGAGTGCATCGTAAAGGACCCAATATTCTCCAACGTAACGCTGGCGCGAGCTCGCAGGCCCACAGAGACGCTACGTTAGCAAAACGCGAGAACTCTAAAGTGCAAACCACTGGCACGCGTATGCTTGCGCCTACGCGTCAAAAGCGTCTAGTCGCGCCTGTGGAGGAAAAGGGCGTGCAACTACTGGCACGCGTCGACCACGTTGACGCCCAGGCGTCCAAGGCCGATGCGCAATGTTGCTTGATCTTTTGGCTTGGAACTGTCCAAGTTCAGCACAGAACGGCACGTTCTCAACTGGAGCGGGAATGTATGTTTCAGAGGATATGAGAACACGTTAACAAGTTGATAGTGCTTCAACCACCACAGTTTAGACTATTTTAGAGGTAATTGACATTTCAGTGCCCAAAGTAACTACAGCGGTAGCACCAGAAATCAACATCGGTGCGTGTGCCGCTCCCGCGAATGAACATTCGCGTCTAGCATACTGTACGGCTATCATAGGCGTGTGCAGGGCTCTCCTTAAGGGGGGGGGGGGGCAAAAGTTTGTCCCAGTGCCCCTCCCCAGGGCTGACTTAGCACCCCCTCCCTATTATGTTAATATATGGAATTGACATTGAGCTCCCCCCCCCCTCCTCTCTGCGGTGAATGAGGCGTGGCTGCCTTCCTGATCAGGTTTACAAACCACCGGGTTTCTATACCTGCACTACCAAAGTTACTAACAATATCTTGTATATGCTGGTACCTTCAGTATATTTACACAACATATTTTATATCAGTCAACTTAATAATCACGCCTGCAACTTCATGATCTGAGAGATTTAAGTCAGTCATAAGACTACAATTGAGGCCAGAGTAGCAGGCTTTCGGTTGATGTGTGTGTTCGAAATATTCTCTAATGCAACAAAGCACACCCGGTTCTTATTGACACAAGAGATATTGGTCATAAGATAGGAACCAAATACTGCGTAGAATGCCTTCGGGCATTTTCCATAGCTGAAATGTGCTCTAATGCAACTAACTGTGCCTGACACTTCATGATGTGACAGATATTGGTCAGAATATTTCAACTGAACCTTGCACTGGAAGACTTCTGGACGTTGTCTTTAGTCAAAGTATTCTCTATAACGACAGACGACACCCAACTGTTCATGAAATGACAGATATCGGTCATAATATTAGAACTGAAAGCTCAATACAAGACTTCTGGACGTTGTCTTTAGTCAAAGTATTCTCTAGAACGACAGACGACACCCAACTGTTCATGAAGTGACAGATATCGGTCATAATATTAGAATTGAAACCTTAATACAAGACTTCTAGACGTTGTCTTTAGTCAAAGTATTCTCTAAAACGACAAACGACACCCAATTGTTCATGAAGTCACAGATATCGGTCATAATTATAGAACTGAAACCTGTAAGGAAGACTTCTGAATGTTATCTTTAGTCAAAGTATTCTCTAAAACGACTAACGACACCGAACTGTTCATGAAGTCACAGATATCAGTCATAATATTGGAACGGAACCCTGTATGGAAGACTTCTGGACGTTCTCTTTAGTCAAATTATTCTCTAAAATGACAAATCGCACCCAACTGTTCATAAAGTCAATGTTATCAGTCATAATATTGGAAGTGAACCCTGTATAGAAGGCTTTTGAACGTTGTCTGCAGCCGAAATGGCCTGCAGCCAAAATGAACGTTGTCTGCAGCCGAAACAACGCACACCCTACTCTTCATGATGTGACGGATTTAGGTCATGAGGCTGTAATTGTGCCCTGTTCAGAGGGCTTTGAATGATAAGCGTATTGGAAATATCCTGTCATGCAAGAAACCGCATCTGGCTCTTAATGATACAACAGATACTGTCATAAGAATGGAACCAAGCACTACGTAGAATGCCTCTGGGCATTTTTTGTAGTCAAAATATGCTCTAATGCAACTAACTGTACTTGAAGTTTTCATAA